CGCCTCAGGACCTCAATATCTCCACAAGCCAGGCCAGAAAGCTTAAAACTAACATTTGGCCAAGCGCTGACACCAGATGAGTCGATTACAGGGGAGAAATAAACAGAGGGAGGAGGAGCAGCCATAATATAACATCGCCCTCCTGTGAGCAAAAAAAGACTCATCAGATTACCAGACCCAGCTGGACTGAATCTGTGCTGGGGCGGGACCCAACGCCTCGTGGCTGCCCAGTGGGCTCCGTGGCCACGGGTCATCTCCTCGTCTCCAATCCCGCAGGGGTGAGGCACGATAAGGAGAGAGATGCGGCCTTGCCGTGAGCACCTCAAACACACCAGGCCCCGCCTAAGCAGACCCTGAAAACACATGGACCTGTGCGTGGATGCGGGAGTACATACTCGTGTACACCCACAAAAACACACAGGGACACGTCACACACACAGGCACACACATGCATCCACACAAACACTCACATCACATGCACACACATGCTTGGACACATACACACAAACACACACACAGGTGTACAAACCTCCAATGGGCTTGTGAAGCGTTTTCACATACGCTGCCTAGGGTGACCTTTACTGCGACCCCACGAGATGGCGTGGGAAATGGACCCACCGAGCATATGGGGGTGCTGAGGACAGTGAGGGGGGCCCCGGGCTGGGTCACTTGTGGATGGCAGAGGCCTGGGGGTCTCACCAGCCCCCAGAGCCTCCTTGGACGGACACACCTCCCTCAGCTGGGCTCCCACAGGAATACTTGCACTTAGAGAGGATTGTGGCAACCCTGCGCTTTTTCCTTGTGCAGAAACACCACCAAAAACCGTAGCCATAATAAGACCCTCCGCTCATCAGGGGCTTCCTGTGCCTCGACATTCCACACGCGGTCTCTGCAGATCGCCTCAGTCTCCATAACCACCCTCAAAGCGAGAAAACCATTTCTCCCCATTTTCCAGAGAGGAAAGCTGAGGCACGGTGGCTGGCCCCCGCCCAGCCAACCCCTTAGAGGCAGAGGAACCGTCCACGCTGCCCTGGGTTCAACAATCTGACTGCCAAGGGCTGTCCCCCCACGCCCCTGCCTCCCCAAACAGGGGGCCCAAAGTGCGCAGGACCCGCCCAGGCCAGGGCAGGCGGCATCCCTCAGATCATCTCTTAACCCAGAGAGGGTTAAGGAAGGCCCCGGCCTCCCTCCTGTCCCCTCAGAGGCCCCCTCTATCTCACAGCGGCCACTTCTGCTGGCACAGCACTGCCGGGGCAGGCGGTGCTGGAGGCGCCCTGCCAACCAAGTTAATGAGGGGCTTTCCAGCCAAGGGAGGCAGCTCCGGGAGAACAGTGAAGCGGGTGGGATGTCTGCGGGGAAGAGGCACGGAGGAGACAAAAGCCAGAGGTGGAGGAGGGCACCTGCGAAAGAGGCCCTTTGGAACAAAAGGAAGGGGAAGAAGGAAGGAAAGGTCAAGGTTAGCATCACCTCCTCCAGGAAGCTGCCCCAGATCTCCCCAAGGGGGCCAACCGTCCAGACACGCTCGGCAGGAGAATGAACAGTACAACGAACGGTGTCCACATGCGTGCCTCGCAGCAGCCTGTGGACCCTGGAGCCAGGCACTCTGTCACCTCAGCCTTCCCACAAGCAGGCCCGGCGCAGGCAAAGCCTCCAGGGGTCAACGGGTCACGCCAGTGAGTGAAGGGCCTGGTGAAAGGGGAGTGGAGACTGCAGGCCCCGGGTGCCCCTTGATGGCATTCGGGTAAAAAGCAGGGGTGTAGGGGGCAGGAAGGAACCGAAACAGTCTGCTGGGGCCAAATGGAACCCCTCCCTGGTCCCAGGGCCGTGTCTGGGCTGAGCCCCAGGCTGACAGCAGCTCCAGGCACTGGGCCTCCCCCGTGGAGAAGCTCACTCAGCGCCCAGGTGCAGAGACCAGACAGACCCAGAGTGTGCAGTCCCAGCCCCCTGTTCCCTGGGCCTCTCAGAGTGCCAGCACCCTCCCTCACCCTGCAGGCCTGGATGAGGGTCCAAGGAGATGATGCAGGCACAGGGCTAAGAGCAGACCAGGCAAGTGCCAGCAAGTTCATTCCAATCGGTACCACGGGTGCGGGCGTCCCAGGGGCCAGGGGCCCTGCCCTGCTCCGCGCTGCAAATCCCAGGCTCCACTGTGGGCACAGCAGTGGGGCCTCGGGGTGCGCGTGACTCATCCTCGAGCCTCGGGGGCTCAGAGCGAGTCTGCGCTCACTGTCACCGTTATTCAGTGAGGGGCAGGGGGCAGTGGGTGTCTGCTCCACCCAACAATGTCCGTGGCCCAGGTAAGAGGCAGGGGTGGGAGATGGGGCCAGACAGCCAGAGGGCAGGGGCGGGGCAGGCGGGCATCAGCTGTGCTCGGCTAAGGGCGTGGCTGTGTGAGAGTCCGGAGATATCTGAAGGGCGGGGTAACGGGGCAGGCTCCGGCCAGCACCCCAGGAACAGCCATGGAGCGACATCACAGGACAAGGGAACTTTGTGCTTCCGCACAAGGAAGAAACTCCTGCCCGTGGCCACTGCCGGGTGGTCACAGCGCTGGGCGGCGACCCGAGCTCCAAGCCCTGCAGCCACTAAAATCTGGACCAGAGGAGACAGAGGGCTTCGGGGAATCAGCTTGGCTTCTGAACTCCTCCCGCTGACTCTGCTCTTTTATGGGGAGGAGGGGGAAGGGGAGGAAAAGTTGGAAAAGGCTGTCGTTTCAGCCAACTTGATTGAGTCAGAGGAAATTTAACCATCTGATGTCTGTCAAGTCCCACAAAACCTGGACAACTCTTCCCACCAAATTATTGCCAACAGCGATCACGTGACTGGCGTCAACCAATGATGTGCGGAGGAGATGACCTCAATTTCCAAATACTGGGGTCATGTTTCATTTCACTTACTCTGCTTTGCCCGTTACAATGTTAAACGGCCCCAAATGCAATCTGACTTTTCATTCCTTCACACGCTTGGCCAAGAAGAAGGTAGGAAAAAGAGCCATGTTCAGAGGGAGCTCAAAAAACATCTGGTGGGTCTCAAAATGGAGAGAAGGGCTGCCTGCGGACCGCCTCTCCTGCCCCCCCCCCGCCCGCCCCCGCATGTCAGTGGACAGCCGTTCCCGCTGGCCACGCACTGAAGATGACTTCCGAAAGGGTCCCACCCACCTTCCGAAAGGGTCCCACCCTTTCACAGAAGGGAGGTCTGTGAAACCCACCCAGAGACGTGGTTTCTTCAAAGGCTCTCAGCGTCTCTTCGACAAGAGCAAAATGTCCAGCTCTACAGCCACGGTCCAGGCATCCACCCCATGCCACACTCAGTTAGGAAGGGAAACCGGAGACGGGCGGGGGGCAGAGATGGGGAGTGGTACAGACAGCCGACCCCAAACCCAGGCAAACGCATGCTCTGTGTGCTCCCCAGCCAGTGCCCAGCCCCGGCTTCTGGGGGTGGCGACTCCCCTGAAGGATTCCCACCTGACTTCCTAGGGGAAAGCCCAGCAGAGGAGCTGGGACAGGGCTATGGCCCTGGGCCTACAGGGGTCCCATGACCACATCCCCACCCTGCTCCGTGCCACTTTTCTGGAGGCCGCTACTGTCCCCCACCTCCAGTGACCCCGGGAGAAACACGAAGCCAGTTAGCCTGGGATCCAGGGCACGTAGGTGGTAGCCCAGGGCTAAGACCCCAGGTCCCCAGAGCCAGGCCAGGCTCCCCTCCGCTCCCCCAGCCCCTGACTGGCTGGGCACCCTGATTCCTGCTCACCCCGTCTGGCCCACCAAGCACTCACTGTACCAGGAAAAAGGGACAGAATGTCTTAACTGGCAAGTGGAACACGGAAGTGATTCTTCCCACACGTCTTCAAATGACAAAGCGGAGGACAGAAGAGCGAAGGCAGTAAAGCGGTGTCTTCTCACAGGGGAGCCCTGGCTGGTCCTGCTGTCCACTGAGCCACTGTCCCATCCCTCTGCCCGCACTTTCCTTGACCCTGCAATAGCGGCTCTGAGCCTCGTCTCCGCATCTGTTAATGGGGTCCCAGAGGACTTTCGGGGCCTCGGGCTCCGACGACTGAGGCTTGTGAAGTCCCATCCCACAGGTAACCACAAAAGGTGATGCTCAGAAAAACCACTGTCCCGTCAGGAAGCTGTGTGGGAGAGAGCTGGAGCTGCAAGCATCCAGGCAGGCACACTGTCAGTGCTGGCCTGGTGGACGCCATCCACTGGAGACAGCTCCTTCTAAGGGCAGACCTCTGGCAGAAGGAGTCCCACATCCTGTGTGTCATCTGAACTCCTCACAGCCAAGACTCTGAGAGCATCTCCCGCCTTTGCTCCAAGAATCCCGTCTCTGGGCAGCTAACCCAAGAAAAACTGCCTTCCAGGAGGTCGAGAGGTAGGATTAGAGCAGGGCTGCTCCACCACCACCACCCCCCCGGGGGCTCCCCAGTACCACTCACTGAGTACTTAGATGGTGGGGACCACAGGAAGCTCTGTTCCCTGGGAAAGGGAGAGTCAGCCGGGTCTGGAGGCAGAGGAAGAGGGTGCTTGGAGAAGTCCTGGGCTGGGGGGCTCAGCTGCTGGGATTCTCCCCAGCGGCCCCCCATCCCAGGAGGCCCGGCCGGAACTGGCCCGCTGCGACTCTAGGGGGCGACCCTTCCCGGGTTTCAGGAAAGGAAGTTCTGCAGCGGGGCTGTGTGGGACAGAGAACGCAAAGTTTCGGGACAGAAGTTTGCCTGCCTGGTGGACAAGCCCTCCGGCTGATCCAACGCAGAGCCCTTCCTCGGCTCCCCGACAGCCCCACCCGCCGGCCCGTTTGGCGTGGGGAGTAATGTGCCGGCGCGTTTCCCTCTCCGGGGCCCCCAACGAATGGCATTCGGAGTCCCGGCCCGTGCATTCCACAGCCCAGGGGGGGAAGGTCGTGCACGCGCGGAAGAGGCCGGCCGCCCGGGGATGACAGCCGCGCCGGCCCCGGCCCCGGCCCCCCGGCCCCCGGCCCCCCCGCGCCCGAGCGCCCCGCGCCCTTACCTGCGCGGCTCAGAGGCGGCGCCCACAGCAGCAGCAGCAGCAACGGCGGGGACAGCAGCGGGGCGCCCGGGAGGAGCGGGCTGCGCGCTTTCCAGCGGGTGTGGACGTCCATGCCGGCGGGGCGCGGGCGCGGGTTGGGCGCGCGGGGACGCACGGGGCGCGGGGCACAACTCAGCGGGGCCGGCACAACTTTAGGGAATCATGGGAGCAGCCGCCGGCCCGTTCTCTTTGTGGCGGTGGCTCTCTGGAGGGTGGGCTGGCGCGCTCGCCCACGGGCGGGAGGGCTCGACCTTGGCCGGCGGGGCGGCCGGGACCCCGCTCGGCTCGCTCGCCCTGGCCTCCTCCGCCTCCCCCGCGACTCGCTCCCCGTGGGCGCTGCGCTCGAGTGAGGCCCTGCGCCGGCCGCGGGGACGAACGAGGAGTGCGGACCTCGCCTCGGGCGCCGAGCACTTTTCCCCCTTTCCCTCCCTCCCTCTCTCGGGGACGGCACCCGCGGAGGCCGTGGCTCCCCCGCGCCCGCAGCAAATCAGAGCCGGCGCTGGGCTCGGCCGGGCCGGCCCCCGCCTCCCACTGGGCGCAGCGGGCGAGGGGGTGGGGCCAGCGGGCGAGCGGCAGCGAGGAAGGGGCTGGCCCGGGGCGGGCGGGGACTCGGCGAGGGCCCGGCGCCCCCAGCTCTGCCGGCGAGCGCGGGCGGACGAGGCCCGGCGGCCCACGCTGCAGCGCGCTCTCCCCGCCCCAGGTGCCCGCACCTGGCCGAGCCCCAGAACCAGTGTGGAGGGGCCCCGAGTTCGATCGTTTGGGGTTTAAAAAGGACGTTGCAGCTCACCGCGCCTAACTTTTTCGTTTACTTGGAGTTCAGAGCTCCTCTTCTGGGTGGAGACGGAACTTCCAATCCAGCCAGATCGGGGCGCCCAAGACTGTGGCAGACATGTCCACCCCGAGAGAGACGACCCGCCCTCCACCTTCCCCCACTGCAGATTGGGCATCCGTGCCCAGGCTGGGATCGAGGCTCCCAAGAGGTCTCCGAGGGAGCTCGGATGCCACACATCCTGGATATTAATCAGGCGAACTTGGCCAGCACCCCGTCCCCACTCACTCCCTCCTACTGCGTGGAGACCCCTCTGCCACAAAAAGGAAAGCAAAGAAGACACCCCCTGGGGAGGTGACAGCAGGCAGAGGGGTGAGGGGTTGGGGCGCTGCTGCCCTGGCACTGCCACTGGGCACTGCCTCTCTCCCTCCGCTTCGTTAAGCCTTGGTGAGGTCTCCCTGGAGCAGGACGCCTGCCAGGCTCCGGTGGCCGGTAGCAGCCCCTCCCACCTGGCTCCCCACATAACCTGCTGAAAGCCCGCTCACACCCCTTCCTCGAAGAGCAACAGAGCTGGTTTTTAAAGAGGAGGGAAGGTGAGTCAGGGGGCTTTTCAAACCCTAAGCCATCCGTATCCCCTTTGAACAAACAGTTCAGCCAGTGATGCTGAAGCAGTGATCCCTGTCTCCAGTTACATGTCCAGACTGGGCGTGCAACTCCCCAAATGCCCTTTGATTCCCATCATTCTGGAAACAGGAAGGGAGGGGAGGTGGGTAGAGGTTAGGTTTGCTGGGATGGCCACATACTGCCTCTTGAGCCAGGTGGTGGTTCACTGGTGCTACCCTGATGGTCCACATCTGCCCCACGTGCCCTTCGCGGTGGCACTAAATGTTGCTCGGGAAAAGGATGAGACTCACAAAGTAAAGCTAAATGGTCTTTCTGGTCTTTTATAGTCCTTTGTTGTTGTTTTACAACCTGTATAAATCACATATATGATCGGGGAAATGTGTCTGTGCCTGTGTGTCTGTGTGTGTAAGTTGTGTGTGTTGCTTCCGCTGGAGCTGGTCCTTTGTGTGCCTTAATGAGAGAGAAATTCCATCAGACACTCCCTGAGCCCCCAGCTCCACCTGGCCCCTGGAACGCACCCCCCACCAGGGGAAGGCCAGCTTCTCCCAAAGACTTGGGATGCTACCATAGGTCAGTGGTCTAGTGATCAGAAGATAGTGCAGACTCAGGGTTCCAGTTTCCCCCAAGGACACAGGGTGCTCCTTCTGTGACAGTTACAGGTGCCTCTGTGCTGGCCAGCCAGACCTCCCAACACCTGGAACTCAGGGCGGGCATCTGGTCCCTCAAGAGCTGATAGTCAAGGGACACCCAGGGTCCCCCCAGAGAGCTGACCTCACAGTAATGAGAAAGCTTGAGGCAAAGGTGGGCTCCTCCACACCTGGACTTGGGTGAGGAGGTAAGTTTCTATCCCACCGGAAAACTCGAAAAAAATCCCCAAACTGAGCAGCCTGACCTGTCTGCCCAGGACTGTAGGAGAGTAACCGGGACGCCTGGTCGCGACTGTTACTCCAGTGGGAACAGCAGAAGTACCAGCCCGCCACATGTGTTTCCCACTTTAAAGCCACTCTTGCATCAGGTCACACACAGCAGTAGGGAATACTGTCATTTCTCCCCTCCACAGACAAGGAAATTGGGGATCAGAGAGGGTAAAGGACTTACCCAAAGTACCGGCCCATCCATCCGTGGCCGAGCCTGAATTTGAAACCAGATTTACCTTCGGGTGGGAAAGATGCAGATCGCCTTGCCCAAATCCTTGCAACAATGCCCAGTGGTGGTTGACCCCAAGCAGCATCCCCTTGGCCCTCCCATAACTGATTAAATTGGAGAGTCCTTTGAAAACTGTTTCTTTCACTCTGGGCTCTAGGATGTCTGCAGTGAGCAAAGGCACCCAGCCCCCTGGCCAGCCCCCAACCCAGTCTCTTCCCCTCAACTCCTGTACGGTGAGCATCACCTGCTTGCCTGTGTGCCTCCCTCCCCTCCTGAAATTACTGCCACGTTCCCACCCGGTCCCTCCCTGTGCGTGGACTTCTACTCATGGTACTCCAGCATGGGAGGGACTCACCGCCACCCAGGGCTCTGCACACCCCTGGTCGCCCATGGATGTGCATCTCCCACAGTGCCTGGCAGGCCGGGTGTGCCCCCAGATTTGCACCTGGGGCCTGCTGTCCACCTTCTCCTTCCTCTGCTGTAAGCTCTTCTCAATGATTTTTTTTTTCTTTTCTTTTTTTTTTGGCTGTGTCGGGTCTTAGTTGTGGCACGCGGGATCTTTTCATTGCGACATGGGGGCTCTTCGTTGGGGCGCATGAGCTTCTCTCCAGTTGTGGCTCACGGGCTCCAGAGCACATGGGCTCTGTAGTTGTGGCGCGCAGGCTTAGTTTGCCCCGCAGCATTTGGGATCTTAGTTCCCAGACCAGGGATCGAACCCGAGTCCCCTGCACTGGAAGGAGATTCTTAACCACTGGACCGCCAGAGAAGTCCCCCCTCATTGATTTTTTTCAAGCGGCAAGCGTGGTTCTCAGCGTGGTTTCAAGCGTGGTTCTCAGCGTCCATGACAAGCCCCAAGTGTTGCCCTCTTGTGGGTTGTTTCATTTCCCACCCTCCCACCTTAAGGGGCCACCCAGCCTCCCAGGGTCATTGCCTGGCTGGGGAAAGCCTGGGGAAGCCCTCCGGGACAACTGGGCTCCTTCTCTCCTTCCCCCTCTCACAGGCGGGAGCTCACAGACCCACAGAGCAGGTGGAGGAACCCGGTGACCTGCTTGCCCTACGAGAGGTCCGTGGCCCACTGGGCCCAGGAGGGAATGGGGAGCTGCTGCCTGGTGGAGTGAGGGGATGGAGCTGCCCCCAGTTACTCACAGCAGTGGAAGTGGCCTCGAGGTTCCCTCAGGCTGCCCAAGGAGGATGCTCCAAACCTGCACCCCGCACCCGAGGCCGCAGCTGCATCCTGCAGGGGGTGTCTGGGGCCAGGCCAACTCCAGAGTTGCAGACTCAGCCGCAACCCCAGCGGCAGGAACCGCCGGCCGGGGGACCTTGGGGCAGCGAGTCCTCGCCTCTGCTTCTGGGGAAGTGGGGTGGGAAGCCGGCCTCCGTGGCTTCCTGGGGAGCTTGGAGGCGAAGCCAGGCAGGAAGGCCTAAAAAGCCCTGCCGGGCGTTGGGAGGCCCCGGTGCCCCCTCCTTCCCCCTGCGTCCTGCCGCTGGATGGTCTTCCTCCGACCCCTCTGAGCCTCCCGCTGGATCCTTCAGGGCTCCGCCCCATTCGCCTGCACCACGGGCTCAATAGAGTAAAATCGCTCCCTTGGGCGCAGGAGGACGCAGACGCTGGGAGCCCTGAGACCTGCTCCAGGTCCAAAAGTAGGGGGTGGGGTGGCCAAGCCTGAGCCCAGAGCTCCTGCCGGGGCCCCCAACGCCGTGTGAGCCTGCTCTCCAGGACGAGGGGGGCTGTCGGGCAGAGGGCCGCCAGGCTGGCTCCAGGGTCCCCCTCCTCTGCCTGCGCCGCCCCCGACTGACCTTCCAGCCCTGGGCCCTGCTCACTGCGCCCTGCAGTGCTGGGGCTTCAGCACACCAGGGGCTGCTGCCCCGCCCACCCAGTCAGCAGGGCTCTCCCTCCATGCTGGGGTGTGGTGGGGTGGCTGTTAATCCCAGGGGACTCTCCACAGCTACTAGGGGAAATCCACCGCTTTAAGGCCTCCACTTTGACACAGTGGAGGAGCCTAGCCAGGCCGGCCAACGGCCAAGGGCAGCCCCCAAGATGCCAGGCTTCTCCGGGTGTCAGTTTCCTAGGGCCACTATAACAAAGTGCCCCAGACCGGGTGGCTTGAACAACAGAAATGTACTCTCTCATCCCGGAGGCTGGAGGTCGAGCTCAGGGTGTGGACAGGGCTGGCTCTCCTGAGGCAGCTCCTGGGCTTGAAGACGATCCTTTTCTCTCCGCATCTTCCCTCTGTGCAGGTCTCGTCCTCATCTCTTCCTCTAAGGACAGCCAGTCACATGGGGCGAGTTCACCTTAAAATGAAGATGGCTTCATTTTACCTTCGTCTCTTCTTTAAAGGCCCTTTCACCAAAGACAGTCACATCCTGAGGTGCTGCGGGTCAGGGTTCAATAGGTGAATCTGGAAGGGGGGCACATAATTCAGCCCACAACACCTTGGCAATCCTAGTCTGTGGGCCTTTTGGAGACACCCAGGGATGGGGGCTCTCTGTTCTCCAGAACAACAGGGACATTCTGATGCCCATGAAGGTGGGGG